CCCCCGCCCGGCCACCCCCCGCCCCGCCTAGGTGTCGAGCGGAGGAAGCGGGAGGGGCAGGAAGCGGACTGCGGTGGGCAAGGGGCGCCCCGCCCCGCCCCCGGCCCGGGTTCCTGTTTTCGAGACAAACTGTTCCCACGGGGCTCGCCCGGCCCGGGGCGGACGTCTTCCTGCGGGCAGCGGGGGCACAGCCTGGGGGAGGTGGGGGCCTAGGGCAGTGGGTCCTTGGGAGAGTCTAGGGGAGGGGCTAGGACAAGATGGGAGCATTTGGGGCGAGGGGCTTGTGGGCAGGAAGAAGTGGACACGCAGGCGCCCTGACACAGGGCCTCGGTGTCTGGGGGTGCTAGTTCACACAGCAGGAACGGGGCCCCGGAAGCCTGGCTCCCAGGGACCAGGTGGAGAGGGGCAGCTGCTGGCGGCGGGCGGGTTTTCTGCATCTTGGAGACTGGGTGCCTGGCCCTGACCGAGAGGAACCTGGGAGGGGCAGCCACAAGCGGTTAGGGTCCCCACCAGCCCAGCCTTGGGGAGCCGGTAACAGTTTCCGGCCGTTTGTGTTCAACCACACTCACTGTGAAACCACTGGCCCCAAACCTCCCTTCCTAGGCTCCCCTTCCTGCGCGGGGAGGCGGGACTCGCCCAACCTCAGCCTTGGCAATGGGAGGCCCAGAAACAGGCCCTTTCTGGCTCTCAGTTTCCCCACAGGGAGGAGGGCGCGTCATTGGCCGAGCCTAGATGGCCTGCGCATACCCCACCGTCACACACTCTGCCTTTAGATCGAGCTGCGGAGCCACCTGCTAAGAGACCCTTAAACGCCGCAGTGGGCGAGGCTGAGGGGCGGAGCCAAGAAGGCGCCAAGCAGCCGTCGGCTCCTCCCCCTTCTGGGTCCTGCTCCGACCGCGTGGATCCTCCTTAGTCCCGGACGCCTCAACCCCAGTCCCGACTCTCAACCCCAGGGGCCCCACCCAGGCGCACGCTCCGCCCCCGGCCAGCCTGGCTGGCCGCTGACCTAGTATGGACACAGCATTGGGAAGAGGCGTGGAGGGTGACGGCTGCGAGAGTCCCGGGTCCCGCCCCCTCCTCCGAGGGGACGCACCTGCCGAGGGTGGGGGTAAAGGGGATGACTGCGCAGCTGCCGCTGTGCCAGCCATCAGCTAAAAATAGTTGCCAACAGAAACAGGAGTAAGGAGGCCCCCCAGCAGGATTATTTTATTGGGGAGTGGGTGCAATTGGTCAGACCCCATAAATAGAGGAGGGGGGCCGGGAGCTCAAGGACAGGAAGGGGGGTAGTGTTCTTCATCACGCTGGACACTGGGACCTCGAGGCGGGGGGGG